TGAACGTCATGCTGAAGATTTTACAAGACCTCACCAAAAGGTTTCACAACCTCAGCCTCAACACCCCCATCCTAGAATTAATCAGAATGATATTGGTTCCCAATATAATCAACCAGTGGAAGTGCATAATGGTCGGCAAATTGAAGTAGAAGGGAGATTAGGGACTGGTCAGGAGGTCCATGGTGACGCTCGCAGAAAATTTTCTGCTGGTGCACGAGAACAGCATGACCTAAAACATGGTGTACTTCCAGCATCTGCCAAGGAGAACAAAGGGCAAAAGTCCAGTTTGGTTGCTGAGGTAAATGATAGGCATAAGGATGCTTCTTTACTCGTGAGCTCTGAAGGTCGTCAAAGGATGGGAGAGTCTTCTCCTGATGAGATGAGTTTGTACTCCAAGTATGAAAAGGAGGAAGCAGAGCTAAAGGGACCAATAGAGAATTTTGCCCAGTAAGTATTTCTACATTTACTTTAGTAGTGGAGAGCACTTTGGAGCTTGTTGAAACATGCAGGCATACTCTCAGATTCAATTAATACATAAAAGAGAGTACACAAATGTAGTTTTCAAGTGATATACTTCAAGTCGTCTTCATTGCTGAAAAATTTATTTCTTGAAACCTTTTACTGAAAAAAGAGAGTACACGTGTAGGGTTCAAGTAGTAAATATGTTGGATAATTGAGGTCGTCTTCATTGTTGAGACTTTTGTTCTCTAAACCAATAAAAAAGAGTAGAGCCTTTTGTGTTGAAGTTATTAATGCCTTTTGTACTTCCTATTATCTTTTTGCTGGAAATCTTTATTTTTGATGCTTCTCATATATCAGTTTATCCATGTTTCAGGTATGAAGAATATGTGCAGGAGTATCGGGAAAAATATGATAGTTATTGCTCTATAAACAAAACATTGGAGTCTTACAGGTTTGTCACAAGAATATAATTATGCTTATTTCTCAAAGTTTAATGGAGATTATTTCTTCTCAACTTTTTTAACCAACACCTTTTGCAAACAGTTTATTTTCAGTTTTAGTTAGTCTAATAATTATTGGGATCAACTCTTTAGGAATGAGTTCATGACACTCGGCAAGGAGCTTGAGGTATCTAGAGGAAGAGACAAGCAAAGATTCTATGACATGTTGGGACAGTTAAAAGATTCGTATCGCAAATGTGGACCAGTAAGTTTCCTCCTCTCAATATGTTTTGTGGTCATGGATAAGCAGTTGGAGATTCTACTCAACATTTTTAATGTTGATGTCTATTATGTTTCTAGACTAATGGTGATGCCAGCTCTAGTTCACTAGTTCAAAAAATCTCTCCTGCATTTTTCTCAATGCTTTTGGATGCAAGTATTAAGTGCCTTTCCGCAGGCTATTTCTGGATGACAGATTGCCTAATGTCCGAAATAGTTTCAATGCCCTCTGGAGAGACACTTTCTCCATAGTCCTGTTTACTTGGATAACCCTTTACTTTTTCATTTGACTCCTTGAGCTGGTTTATTAGAAGTATCTGTCCACTTACCCATGTGTCTTAGGGTGATATACTATAACTGTACTTTCTTTGTGATGTCTGACTCATTGGTTTTATTTAAACAATGCAGAGACATAAAAGACTGAAGAAAATATTTATTGTGCTTCATGAGGAACTGAAGGTACTTATCGGACCATCACTTTTGAACCTTATTGCTTCATTTCCCTATGATCCCTAGTAGTAGCTCTTTTTCTATACAATTTCTGAATGCTTCAACTTGCTGTGCAGCATTTGAAGCAGATGATCAAAGACTTTGCTGTTTCATATGCCAGAGATCGGTAACCAAAAAGATTGAATTCTAACTCATTTTTGGCCTGTTGGGGAACCCGGAGTGCTCGGGGATTATCTCCTCTATAATATGTGGTGGTTAACTCGTTTGGTGGAGGGGCAAGCAGAAAGTGCGCTGTCCCATTTGTAGATGAAATGAATGATGGTGACACCACAAGAGTTGACAGAAAATGTGAAGATACAGTTGGAGCAACGCAAATAGGGTGAAGGGTTACTACAAGATTTGGTCACAGTTCGATGGATGTAAATAGAAATGTAGAGTGCCTCTTTTTTCTTTCCTTTTTTTTTCCCATTCTTTAGCGGGGCTTGTGTCCCAGTACATTCTCGTGTAAATTATTTATGGAAGTTTTAATGTGCCTGATACGTACAGTACTGACTCCTGATTCTAGGAATCGCCCTAAGGGCTAATTTTCCATAGTGTTGTCATCATAGGATCGTTACCAAGTTTTGATACAACTGTTGCATAAGGTGGATATATCTTTGTCCACTCTGATCCAATTTGTAAGGCTCCTTTAAAGTAGATAACTACTAGACGTTTTGTAGTCACAATGAAACACGTAGATTGTAATATTATGTACATGTTTTAGTAAACAGATTGGAATTATTACATGCTTTACGATTTTAACAATTTCTTATATAAAATAGGGAAACTATCAGTTATGTCCATTTATAAGTAGCTCATTATCAAAATTAGTTAATTCATAAAATATTACTAATATTAGTTAAATATTACTAATATTAGCCAATTAGCTATTTGTAGCAAAAAAAAAAGGTCAAATTTTTGTTTTTTTTGAGTGGGTGTTATTAGAATAGATTGGGTACATCTTAAGGAGCTTAAATTTCAGTTTTGGGATGATTTGGTGAAGTTTTGAGGTGGTTTGAATTGAAAATTCAAAGTAAAAACTGAACATGAAAAAAATTATGTGTATCACACTGTGTATCATATTTGTATCAATTGTGTATCACATATATACCTGTGTGAGATACATGCGTGATACATGTTTGATACATGTGTCGCAGAAGCATTTTTTGAACTCGATTTAATTACGAATTTTGATACAAAATCAGTCCAAATCACCTCCAATCTTCCTCAAATTTTGTATATTGACTTAACTATATGTTTTCAATACCCATTGAAAAGGTTCCTTTTTTGCTTAGATTTTTGGAATATTTTTTTTTTGTATTTCATCACCTTATTTGCTACCTCATCCATGAAATTTCCTTTCCATCTTGCTTCTAATGTTGCTAATCACATTTAAAAATATGGAAGGAGATTTTTGCATGTGATTCTTTAAGAGAAAGAACCTTATTTATTTGGTTTTTCAATTTTTATATGTGCTTGGCTAGTTTTGGTAAGTTTATGACTAATGGCTAGAGGTTGGTAAGTTGGGACTTATTTGAGACATTTGTGCAAGTTTCCTATAAAATATTATCTTGCTTTTCTTTATAACAAGAAAAATACTATAAATGCTAAGTTGAGAATAAATATTCAACTTAACAAAAATAATGCACATATATATATATACTAGTGAGAGTTAGCCCGGGCTATTTGGTATTGTTGTTAATATTATTGTAAAATGTCACTCACCTCTGCACATGATTATAGAGAAAATGACTTGATTTATTATTGTATAAACTAGTCATTTAAATGAAAGCCGATCGATCATCTATCGCTAGTAAATTCCTACAAAATAAATAGTAGCAAGGTAGTTAAGGATATAGTAGCAAATCATTGATATCAAGGTACAAAGTCCTTAGAAAGTATGAATATTTTAGAAGCAATGAGTTTATTAATGGTGGGTCAAACAAAAGTAAAGTTATTATAATATAGGTTAGCAGCAAAGAAAAGTTTACTACAGGTTCTGTGGAAATATAAATTTCATCAATAAACAACACCAAGGTAAACACCAGGGTTACTCAGCTAATATATTTCTGAATGTTATGCCCAGTAACCACCCGGTGTATAATAATATACAACTACAGTAAAACATTTTCAGATTCCCAACTCTGAAATGAACTAATGAAATGCTATTAGATTTACACCACTTTCTAAACATTCTGTCTTGCACCAAAAGGACAACAGAAAAACAACTAAAACTTGATATTGCTGATGGATTCCGCTTTGTCTTCAAAACATCTAAGATTCCTCTTTTTAATTTCCATATTGTACACCAATTGCAAGAAGGCATAGTCTTTGTCACACTTATTCTCTTCTCCTCAAGTTGTAGAAGCATAACATATAACTCCTTGATGTCCCAACACAAGCAAAAACATCCTCCTTCGGGGGAGTAATCACACAATATAGCATCATGATAAAGAGGTCATCCCTCTACTGAAGCATGCAGCAAAAGAAATATTATCTTCAGTAATTTTAATTTCTAGCAAGTTGCAACACTATCTGAAAATAAAAGCAGCACAACAACTAAGTTTATTAATGACCATTAAGAAATCACTAACCTTGGAGAGCAGGTGCTAAGGACTCCAAAGTCAGTTTTTCAAATTCAGCAGACTCAATTTATACTTTAGAATTTTCTCCCTAATAATAGGTTCAGTAATATTTTTTGCATTCACCATGATGATAGCACTCTGAAGCTCGTTTGCTGTCCTTCATTACTGAAGGCATTCATTGGCTATACCGGCAAATATTAGACAAATAGCATAAATGCTCTAATAAAAATACAGATGGAAATAAAACATCACAGTTGACAAAGACCTTACGGCAAGACATCACACACCACTTTTGACCAGAGTGACACCAAATGTACAAATCATCTATACAATTCACATTTGATTTATGGTATAGAAATCTGAGTAGGATTGTACTCAGTAAGTCAGATTATCATATAATTTCCACCGCCAAAGTAACTAATTTGCATGTCAGAGTTGTGTTGTTCATAGTAGCAATAAGAGCTCAGAAGTATACATACGAAGTATACATACTTAGCGAAAAGAACAAAAAGATAAGTATATGTAACTGTTGTATAAAATACCACAAATTAGGCGGAATGACTTCATTATTAGCTTTAAACAAAATGTATGATCGTACATGATGCTATCGTCATATTTTCTGCCCATCTTCCTCAATCTAACCCTACTTCCATCCAAAATCCAACCTCCACTATATGTGCTCACGCTCAACTAATAGGCAAAGATAATAAAATATTTATTGTCAACTTGATAACATTCTTTATAACTTTCAATTAACAAGGTATGCCTTTTTTCTTCTTAGCGAGGATGTAGTTAGCCAATGTTCATGCTAGGTTTAAAATTCTTCACTTCAAATAGAAGTACAGATAACATTTAATCACACGTCTTCTTTCTGGGAGAAAGAAGTGCATCAGAAAGAGATACAAGCTATATTTATTTAACTACTTGGGTTCTTCTTCAATCATCAAAATTTGACACTTGGTTCACTTTTTCTTTTCACCAACTCAAACAACCCTCATCCTCAGATATATCAAGACATCTCTAGACATTACAATCACAACTAATGCTTAATGGAAGGCCCACATAAACATTCTGAATTAAAACTCAATAAAATCATATACTAAAATAATGAAAAAAGAACAACATATTTCTAAAAAAGAAAAGTCTGATTTAAATACTAATAACCATGAAGAATGTATTCTCCACTGCTCTGAGATTGTGCAGCTAGCGAATCGAACATCGATTTCAAGTCTTCCTGTTTCCTCTCAGTGAACACTCTACGAAGGAATATCAAATGCGTTTTGAGTTTAAATTGATCAAAAATATTCAAGTGGGTAATCAGTTGTAGTGTTATACAGAAACAACCACTTCTTACCTAAAGCAAATCGCCGGTTCATGGAATAATTGAGATTGAATAATTCTACATGTGAATACTTGAGTTATGGAGTTTAAATCTTTATTAACAAGTATATGTTATGAGAGAATTATCGGTCTGCCTGCAAATCTTGAACAAATTTAAATATGTAACCTTGAAAATATAGGTAAGGATTTCTTGTTTCAATTTGCAATGGTTCCAGTTAATTTGTCTTTGATATGGATATTGCCTCATTGCAATTTTTCCCAATAATAGCAAAATCATACGATAGAAAAATTCTTCTATCCACTTTGAAGTCATATTGCGATTCGTCAATTTCTTTTTTTAATAATTCATTCACAAGTTCTTTTACAAGTCTTGAACAATAGAGCTTAAAACTTTCCTTGCAAAGTTACAGCTATTACCAACATGAGTTACTCATAAAGAATTTTTAACTTACCTGATCAGTTGTCTCCATTCCCATTAATTTACAGCAATAGTCTTTGTTGTCTCTACAACTTTTCTGGTTATGATATCCTGAAAGATAAGCAAGACTGAGGAAAACATATAACAGATTCAGAAATCTTTTTTAATAAATGGAAAACAGTCCATCTAAGGGAACTGATGAAGATACTAATTAAATTTAAATGAGTTCACAGTGAGTACAGTCGAATCAAAAAATAAAAACACAAGTGTCATTGCTAATAAACAACAAACCCTCCTCCTTTATCCGGGCTTGGGACCGGCTATGTCACAGTATAACTTGAACACAGGCGGAGTTAAAAGCATAATTTTTTCTGGAGGTGAGGATCATGCATATCAACTTTACAGAGTTACAAAATCACATAAATATGTAATAACCCGTTGTATTTTTAAATTTGCTAACACTAATGCTTTCACTGATTGGTTCTTGAAGAGTTTTACAATGTAAACATTCTTATCTGCATACTGCGCATAAAAAAACTATATCAGAAGAATAAAAGTGTTACAATGATTTGCAGGTAAACAAGCCAACTCTTATTTACGTCCTACCAAATTGCAGGAAAATTATTTCAATACCCAAGGAAACCATTGGAATAAATAATAAGTAGAACAATTAGAAAAAGAACATTATAAGTTGTTGCCTCATTTTCTAAGAATAAGTGAATGAGAAGCAGCAATCAGCAAGATAAATATATACCACATAAGGAATATAAATAAGGAAGCTATAAAGTTATAGAAGGGCTTTTTGAATGATTTCATTATACACTATGTTATATGTAGACTGGTCATCATTGTTATCTGCCGTAGGTGATCATATTAATATTATACAGCTTGAACTCTTTGCTCTGGATAAAGCAACATATAATTAGCCATGAGAGAACACTGGTTCGCGTAAATAAATTCCAACATAATCTAATGTTTGTCCTTGTGCTTTATTTATCGTCATAGCGAAACACAGGCGTAGTGGGAATTGTGTTCTTTTAAATGGGATAGGTAATTTCTCATCATCTGAAGATAACAACGGTATTCTAGGAATAAATACATGTGTATTCTTAAAATCACCACTCGCAATTTTAGCGCTTATAACACGACTCTTAAAATCACAGCATCTCAATCGTGTACCGTTGCACAAATCTTCACAAGGATTTAAATTTCGCAAAAATATAATAGGACAATTTTCTTTCAAGATTAGTTTGTAAGGAGGCAAACCAGCAGGGTTCAATGAATGTAGAAAATCCTCAAACTGGCTTTGATCATTCGGTTCAATAGTCTCATCAGTGGCAACAAATGTCTTAGCATCTTTAGGAAATAAAGTTTTAAGTCTATCATTCAATTCATCAACAAAGTCATTTTTTATCGTCAAAATAACACGAGATGTTAAAAAGGAAGTATCATGAAAAGACGTATGCAAATCGGGATATATTATGTTGAATAAGAGGTCCAACGATTCTTTTTCAGTAATATAAGGAACAATGAAAGATGTCCGAAATTTCTATTTTGTCATCGGCGTTTCTCTTTTCTGTTCCATTTCCAATTCTCATCAAATATTCACAAAAAGAGGGATCAGTTTTCGCACGCATATTTTCTGATAATCGGAGTTTTTCAAGCTCATTCCATATTTCGGAGTTCAATATGCTTTGCCGAATGAAGTCTTCCTTTTTTCCACTTCGAACCACAGGAAGAGTTTGTCTAAAATCTCCTCCAAATACAATAATTTTTCCACCAAAAAGCACATTTGTGTCCACTATATCTTTTAGGAGAGTCTAAAGCTTCAATCATATTCTTTTTTACCATCGATACTTCATCCCATACAATCAATTTTGCATCGCGAATTAAAGATGCCAGTGAGCTCTGCTTGCTGATATTGCAAGAAAATATTTCATCGATATTAATCGGAATTTTAAAACGTGAATGAGTTGTTCGTCCTCCTGACAGGATCGAAGCTGCGACACCAGAAGTTGTTGCTAACGCTACAAATCCTGTAGATCTCACAGTTGCTAATAAGGCACAATATAAGAATGTCTTACCACTTCCTCCGGGACCGTCAATGAAAAATGCTCCAGATTTATTGGCAAATACTCTCTGGAGAATTATGTCGCATGCAATTTTTTGTTCAGCATTTAATTTTCTATGTAACAATAAATCTTCATCGCTCACAATGATGTTTCTTTCGAAATACACTTCCTTTGCTTCATTTGCTATTTTTGAAGATGTGATCATTTCTGAAATAAGGTTGAACTCATTAATATCACGTCCCATAGAATGTAGTATGTCATTGATGTGATTCAAGACAACAAGGTGGATATCCTTTGGCCCTAGATTCGCTAGGCTCTTAAAGTCTTCGGACATTAAATCTTCAAATTGTTCCCATAGTTCTCTTGGATTATCATGACTGCAGTATACTAATATTGTAGCAAATAAACGTCTTAAACTATATGGCATTTGATAACAAGCGGCCTCTGACATGATCTTTATATGATTTTTGTGCTCTCACATTCATTAGTAATAATCTAATGTAATATCTTTCTCCTTCTGTTGGATGACACGTCACAACGCGGTCGATAACATTACCTCGTTGTCGTCGAGTCCACATTTTACAGGTAGATGACCATACGAAGTATTGTGGAAAATCTTTATAGAACAATTTAAGTTGTTTAGCATCTTTGTTTGTTTCATTCATCAAAAAACATTCTGTCAACATCGTCTTCTTAATCATAGGATTTTTTACGATACTGTCTATTGTGTCAGTTTTTTTAAAGAGACAAACTGTAGTCCGTCAAGATGTAACTGCAGGTGATAAACACTTGGAGTCATTTCGCTAATAGGAAAGACAAATAAGCACCACATAGCTTCCGAAGCTGACACCCATCTAGCAGATCGATACTCTTTTATCTCATCTATTTGTAAATTTGTGTTATCTTCGTGTAAGCCAAACAAAATCTTATCATGTCCTTTACAGATATATTTGTATATATATTTGACAACTTTAATATCGGAGCAAACCTCTACATTTATATGGAAATTGTATTTACAGAGCAGATAAGGATTGTAAGGAACAACCCATGAGTTATCAAGAAATTGTTTCTCTTTTCTTTCATTGTCTCATCAACAAAGCTCTTGGGGTACTTAAATTTGCACTCATTTCTTTTCATACATGAATTTGTAGGATTCAAATGACCACAAGGCCCATGCATAATGTGTTTAATAACAAGCTTATGCAAGTAAGAGTTCGTATCAGGATCAGGCACCTCAACACTAACAAATTTGTCATAAGCCTCGGGCGTCAATAATTTGTAGTCATCAGTAAGTATAACAAGAAAATGAGCATGTGGAAGACCGCATTTTTGAAATTCTATAGTGTATATAAAAGCTGCAACTTTTCCAAATATTTTCTTTTTAATATATCTGTTTTCATCTCTTCTACTTTTGCTCTGAACACTCGACTAATTAAATCAGTCCTATTTTGAGTTTCATCTGTTGTGAGCAAATGTTCCTTTATTTTGGGCCAAGAGGGATTGCATGTCATGGTCAGAAATATATCAGGCTTTCCAAAATGTTGTACTAATGCAATAGCATCCATATAACGCTAGCGCATATCTCTCGGACCTCCCGTAAAACTTGTCGGAAGAAAATTTTGTTTTCCTATCTTAGAAGCTTCTCTTTCACCAACTCTTAGGATATCCAGAAGTCCTTGTAATACATCAACCCGAAATAAATCTTGGTTAAATGAGGCAAAATCTAATCTCTGAGTTTCTACTTTTATGAATTCATCAACTGAGTATTGTTGAAATAATCTGCCAGAATGTAAAACTCCATTTTCCTCATTGTCTCTCATCTGGAGTTTGTAACGGTAGTATTCACGACAAGAAACATTATTCCTTTTTCGTTTTCCTTTTTGCAAAACATCAGCTTCCATATCAAGTAGTCCATCAATTGAACACATGTTATAAAGGCTCGGAAGTTGCTCAGTCTCATAGTAAGCTCGTTTTTTCAATTTATTCATATGCTGTACTATTTTTGGGATACTACAATACCACCCATTTTGACCGTAAGGAAGTAAAAGCGGATATTGCAAAAGATCTTAGCAACCATAATAGTAATTTATTATTTGACTTTTGTTACTGTGAGTGTAAATTCGGATATGCGGTGAAGAAATATTGTTGTTCGTTTCTTGTTCTAGCCATAATGCTGCTACTTCTGGCACAGTTGGCAGATTATATACTCTCTGATCTAAGCCAGAACCACATCTTAACGCAATATAAAAGTTTGATAATTCTGGGATATGTATCAGAGATTTCAAGAAAATACAGTAAGGATTTATCTTTAGTATATCCATTAGCTTCTCAATGATCGATTGTCGAAGTATACCCGAGGAAGCCATTCAATTCAATATTTCTGTGTTCTCATCGTAAAAATACAGCTGTGAATTTCTTGATTGTCGATTTGTCGGAATTAAATCATTTATGAAGTGATACATTTTGACCATGCACTCTAAATGTGTAAATTCCGTGGTTTCTTTTTGCTAGTACTTTGTCATAGTTCACCCCAGGTGAAGTAAAAGCAAACATATTATTGTACAGTCTAACGTAGGTACGAAAATGTTCACATTTTTCAGTATTGCCTAAGTAGAGATTTAATAATTCATTGGGCATTTCATATGACGTCAACTTAGCCGAACCATTGCTACAACAAAATCCTGTTGATTCATATTCAAACCTTTTAGCTCCACAATATTTACAGTTTGGTACAGTTTTCAAAATGGTTGCATTACTGGGCAACTGTTTGAAATTCCAACAACCTATTATCTTTGATCTACAACCTGTGTATATAAGTTGTTGGATATCATACAAGTATTGAGAAAAGATATATGGCTAATATTGTTAAAAGAGTAGACCAAGACAAACCTCTTTTTATGACGACTGTATTTGATGTGGAACCTAATATGCAAATTATTATAACTGATATATGAAATATTTCAAGTGAATAAAAATTGGAACTGCATTTTAATAGTTACTAACCATATTCGAATACAGAATAGGAGCCAATTATATTCTTCCCTTTGTTAGAACAAACTGTTGTGTCGTCCGCGCAGGATTTATCGGCTACATAGAAGCGAACACATGTTAACATTAACAATACATATCTAGGTAAAATCCCAAAAACAACATCCAGAGTTCTATATACGTAGAGTTATATTTTGTTTCCTAACCTTTTTCAGCAAGGCAACATGATTCCCCTATAGTTAGTATTCTCTGTCTAGGTAACTCAACAGCAGCTTCAGAAGATGATGCTACTTCAGTATGTTCAACCAAGAGACCTTGGCTTGTCGACTCAATATTTTTCGATCGTCGTTGTGATAAAAGTATTTCTTTTTTATCAGCTGACTGATTTGTATACACATCATGTCTCCTGAGCTTGATTTTAGAAGCTCTTTCTGCTGAGTAATGCCGCTTCCTCTTCTGGAGGCGGCAACTTGGCGCTGTGGCTTTTTTATCAGTAGGCATCTGTATTTGAATAATTTATACATTTTTAACATGACATCTCTAATACAAATCAAAAAGCAATTAATCTGACCATCAGTAATGACTAATGAGCAAAAATGTATTGTAAAATGCATTGCAAAATGAAGAAAGTAAAAAAGAACACAAATATCCCTAAAGACAATATATAAGCGGAGACCCAGAGCAGACAAAGTAGCATCAAATATTCGAACATTCCTACAGTATATGAAACCCATCACTTTAAGTGAGCCTCTAATATACCTGATGTGTTATTAGTTTTTCTTTTTCTTCCTGTTTGGTGTACGTGTATTTAACCACCAAGTTGATCGTTTAGGAAGGCAAAAATTAATTACAAAAAATATATGCCAAAACAGTCTATGAATTATGGAAATAGCAGAAGAATTCGTCTCAAATACACATAGGCCATAAAAGATATGTCAAAACCCAAAACCCCCAGTTATTACCAAATAAACTGACAGAAAACAAAACAAGCAGCGCAGAAGTTGAAGCAAAAGGAACAGGACAGATTGAATAGGGAAGGAAGCAGAAAATATCGTTGTCATCGTCAAAACACTGCAACGCCTCATATGTGCAGATCGCTAGTAATTGACATATCTATGTCAAAGATAATGGTGCACCGGCGACGCTCAAATCCTAGGTCCGCCTCTGATTGACTTATATTTTATAACACATACAACATCTGATAGCAAACATCCTATCAGCCTCATCAAACTCAGTCTTGAAATGTTAAACTCAATGATCCAGTAAAACTTAATACAGAAAGAACTGAAAACTTGATTAAATATATTCAAAAAAAATTTGGTAATGGAGAGAAAAAACAAATGTTAATGCGTTTGCCATGGTAAGTGAAATTCATAGGCTTAAATCCTTGGAACTTGAGCAAATATGCAAACCTAAATGACTGTTCCTTTCACTCTATTTTCAGATTCAATTCAAACACATATGAAAAAAAGAAAGTAAATTGAGATCTTACAATTTTGAAAATACAGTAATTCAGAATCCCATCTAACTCTGGAATAAAAATCATGCGATTAGATCACTACAAAAGATTTGCTAAATGACCGAAATAAATGACCTTGATAAACATTTCATCTTCTTCAAAATACATAATATTCAGAAATTTACTAACTAAATATTAAAAATTCGTAATCTAAACAACTATAATTCAGTGGATGAAAGAGAAACGTACAAGTAATTTGGCCGGAGGGTCAGAGATCGAACAAAGAAACAAAGGTATTCGATGATATTTACGGTCCGTGAAAAACAGAGTACAAGGAAGAGAAAAGCAGAGCAAACAATTAGATAAAAATTGAAGCGGTCACTTGTCCTTCTCAACCTCAAGTTGTAGGCAGATTTCACGTGCAGGACATTGTAGAGTTAGCACGTATTAAAATTGTGCTACATGAAATGACCAAAAAGGGCCCATCAAACTTTGAATTGCACACGTACTACATAATTATGATAGAAGTGGGTTCCACCTAAACATTTTTCATATAATCATTTAATTACATGTGTAACCTATTAACTGAGCTGTAATTTTACTTTAGACTCTATTTACAGAAACCATATAGAGGGCAATGGTTCCAGCAACTTCATGTGGCAACATCTGTAATTGGAGATGGATTAGTACTAATATTGGTCCTATACTTGAGATTGTACTTGTAAGTCAAGAAAATAAGTCTCATTTTCATTAACCACTCACTATATATGTCAAACAAGAAGAGGGAGAGCTCATCCATTGCACGAATCCTGGATTAAGTTTCAACATATTTGGTCTATATGTTGAAACTATCATATTTGTTGCACATCAATATATATAATGCTTAAAGCTGAAAACAACTTAGAAAGATCAAAACTTAACCCAAAATGCTTCATAATTTAAAAACCTCACAAACTGTATATCACCTGTTTTGAGTATCATATTTGAACTATTCCGGTATTTCTATTATTCTCATGTATTATAACTTTCCATAGCTAAAACACCCCGACTCAATATTATATATAACTCTCCTATAACACTAAAAAGTTTGCCAAGAGACACTACACATATTAATAAAAAATTATGTGTCGTTAAATATGAGTAAAAAATAAAATTTAATTTTAGTGTTAATATCATTTTTGTAGCCATTATTGTTAATCCTCAACCAACATTGTTGTCCATCCTCACGAAGATGTGAATTTTAAAAAGTCTTAAAGGAAGTTAAGAAAAATGCGTTCTAAAAGGTCTCTTGATAAAATTAGGGCTTTTATGCAAGAAGAAGAAGAAGAAGAAGAAGAAGAAGAAGAAGAAGAAGAAGAAGAAGAAGAAGAAGAAGAAGAAGAAGAAGAAGAAGAAGAAGAAGAAGACAAAAAAATCGGATGAAAACCCAAAGCTACATCTAAAATCTGTTCTAAAAAATGAGTAAAGAGAAATAAAGAGGATGAAGAAGAAACAAAAAATATGTAACACAGACTTTACGTATTATGATCTCGAAGGGATAAAAAGACTGAAAATATTTAGAAAAACTATATAGTATAGCCACTCTAAAAAGTGATAGCTGACAAATATATTTTTTTTGAATATTAATATAAAATATACATATTTTATATATAATTAATGTAAAAATTGTACGAGGCGTCCTAATTTATCCTATACCCATATTTTTAAAATTCTTTAATTTATACCCTAATTTTGACAAATTCAGACGCCTCTTTTTCTTCCTCCTGACCTATGCGCTTCTTTCTTCCTCCCCTTCTTTTCCTCTTCTTCTTTTCTCTCTCAAACACATGAGATTTTGTATAAGTATTATTGATTGGATTTGTAAAGTTTTTATTAAATCTTATCAACTACCATATTCTATGTTGAAGGACGAGTAAATAAAACTCCACAAGCTGGTTAAAGTATGTGTGATTTGTATTTTTCCCTGATCCATCCTTCTTAAACATACAACATCAACGGACTAATACATGTTCTCTCTTCCAAGTAATCTGCCACAAGAATGGCACATGCATGTAAAATTTGTTATACACAATAGTTGCTCTCGCGATCTCTTGGAATTAGCTTACCCCATGCTTTATGATATCATCCGCAGGAAAAACAACAGAAAAGGGCTGCGGGACTGAAAAATAAAAGATAGAAAAAATAACTTCAAAACATTATCAAAAAAATTAGTTAAAACTTCAGCACAATTTGGCTTAAGTTATATTTTAAAGCCATCTAAAGAAATGTAGAACACAACTTCAGCTCTAAGACTACTGAAGTTTAGCAAATATAAAACAAAAACTTCAGCTCCTAGAATGATGAAGTTCAGCAAATACAAAACAAAACTTCAGCTCCTAGAATGCTGAAGTTCAGCAATTACAAAACAAAACTTCAACTCCTAGAATGCTGAAGTTCAGCAATTACAAAACAAAACTTCAGCTCATAGAATGCTGAAGTTCAATAATTACAAAATAAAATTTCAGCTCCTAGAATGCTAAAGTTTAGCAATTACAAAACAAAAATTTCAGCCAAAACATGTTGTAGTTTTATTGAACTGAAGTTTGCCATTGCACTATGAACTGAAGTTTGCGTGATTGCTTTTGAAAGTCAGGCCAAACTTTAGGCAAAAATATCTAAAGTTTTGCTTTGATAAGGCTACATTTCAGGCAAAACATTTTGAAATTCAAACTTCAGATATAAATTTTTGCTACTTCATGCCCATATGTCTGAAGTTACCCGAAAAGTGGGTACGCTTGCAATTTTTTTTGCAAAGCGGGTATAAGTTAAAATGTGACCCAAAAGCTAGGTATCGATGCAAATCCCTCATAATTAATATATTTTTGTATGTATTTGACTAGCAAATATAATTATATTTGATAATCACCCAACTGTGTGACTTGCTCAAAATATTTTAACTCAAAGATAGTGTTATAAGTTGTTGGGCCCGTGCACGGGCCAACGGTATCTAGTATTAGGGGTGTACAAAGCGAACCGGAAAATCGCACCAAACCAAAAAGTCAAACCAAACCTATTAAAAAACTCGACGAGATTTGATTTGGTTTGGTTTGGTATTGAATAAAAAAATCTGAACCAACCCGACATATAAATATATAATTTTTATATATACTTATAAGGCTTTATATAGAATTTTCTTTAAATAATTTTTATAGATATTTGGGATTCTCTTATGGGAAGTAATATTTAATAAAATATGAAGTGCTCCATTTTTATTAACTTTAAATAATGTGTTGTATGATCACTTTCTTATCAAGTGTTATTGAAATGCGTCAACCTTTTTATTTTTTCATATTCATATGTCAAGATCTATTAGGTTCTTATATCTTTTTCGAATCTGAAGTTGTATTTTGACAATTAAAAATTAAATAGAACATACATTATTATTTAGGTATCGTATTATTTTTTATATTTAATTATTAAATTCGGTTAGCTTTGAAAGTCTACATCAACGAAAATTTATTATCACACAACTAAAAAAATATTATCATGTGTTACTAAGAAAATTCTCCCATAAGAATATTTTAATAGATCATATGTTTGTCAATTTTTTTAATTTTTATTAAACATATATTTACTTATCAAAAATTTAACAAAGTAGGATTGACATATTATTCATGTAAAAAAAAATCCCGAAAAATCCGACAAAATCGAACCAATCCAAACCGATATAGTTGGTTTGCAGGGGCGGCTCAACAGTAAAGTCACTAAAGCAAAGGCTTTAGGCCCCAAATTTTGAGGGCCCTAAATTTTTCTTTTGTTTTTCTACTCGTATTTGTATTGAGACCCCGACTAATCTAGATTTGTACCGCGTAATACCTAGTAAAAGAGAGAACACGTTTTAACGGGATTTTTTTTAACCACAGAACTCGAACCCAATATATTTAATTAAGGTAAGTTGGATCAAATACATCTCACAACAATCTTTAGAGGCAGAGTCTAAATATATTGGGTATGTTAAAATAAAAAATAAAATATTTTATAAAAATTCAAGATAACTTTTAATTTAGTAGTGATGTAAACGTTTGAGCAAAAAATACAGAAAGAGAATCACTCCCCCTAAACCCTTGTCACAAATATAAAACTTTTCATTATTTAAATTTTTCGAGTGACATCATTAGTAAGGTATCTATATGAATTTGGTTTTATTATCTAAGATCAACAATATCTTAGGAGAGACTAAATTATTTATAAAAGAAACTATTAACAACTGATGTTAGGCCAAAATTTTATACTTTTAGCACATTACTCGCCCTATATTTTGTTGGTTTAAGTGAGTTATTGTGCGACAATTGCGCTAAATTATGTTGTTCTATGTGTAGGAATATCGGAATGAATCATCGATGTTATAATAAATTTTTTTTCCTTCTGAAAGGCCCCAAATTAAAAATTGGCTTTAGGCCACCAATCTTCTTGGGCCGCCCCTGTTGGTTTGGTTTGGTTTTAATAAAACCGAACCAACNAAAATGGTATTTCACTGAAAAGAAAAAAGCAAAGAAGCCGGCAAGATTGAAAAAACAAAGAAAAAAAACAAAGGGGGGGGAGTTGAATCTACCCAATCTACAAAATGGGTTCTATTCATCATTTCTAGATGGACCTGACAATTTCGAGAATCAACTATCCAATGGGTTCTTTTCTTAGCCCATTTTCCATCACGGCCCAATCAAAATACAATTAGTATCTCTCGGGTCATACCAATGAAAATGGCCGAAGCAGGTTTTGTGCAAGGGTTTTAGGCTTTTAGCTGTTGAAGGTCGAGATTGGAAGTGGAACTTTTACAGTTGCCGGAGAAGAAACAGTATAGTGAAAATGGGGAGGAGAATATTGAATGACGCATTGAGGACAATCGTGAATGCAGAAAAGAGAGGCTTTGCTTCTGCTGAGCTCAAACCCGTCTCTAATGTTATTTCTAATTTCCTCCAAATCATGAAATATCGAGGTATTTACTTAACGATTCTCTTTCACACTTCTAGTTTTGAGCTCTAAAACATTCAATAAGTTTTGGTATAAAATTCCCTTTTTGAGATGCTTCCTCCAATTTGAGAGAAATCAAATAAGGATTTTAGGTTTCGCTGGGCTGCTTATATTAAATTTGTAATTACATTTTTCAGGTTATATTAAGGACTTTCAAGTACATGATCCTCACAGAGTTGGTAAGATAACTGTTCAACTGCTTGGAAGGGTCAATGATTGTCGAGCTCTCACTTATAGGCAGGATATCAAGGCTGCAAGCATTGAGCAATATAAAACACGCGCGCTACCAACTCGTCAGGTTTGTGATCTCCCCCTTAGTAAGGTTCTTTTTTGTTCATGCTATTGAGCTCTCATCAGTTATAAGCAAGCCATCAAACCTGAGCTGATTCATTGTTGAGTTCTGAATTATGAGTTGCACCATTGAAGGCTTTGCTTTGTATGATGTAATTCCTATTTTATATCATTTCTCTTTTTGATTGCTTTGTTAGCCAAATGCTAATCTGTTCGCCTCTGCTTTGTAGTTTTTTCTCTGTTTGAATATGTTAGGTCTTGGACCATTCTCCCATTTCTGAGTATTTCCTACATTTTGTTTATGTTTCCTATGCTTACATGTCTTTCTCCTTAATCACTTTATCAGTAAAATCATTTTTCTCTAAAATTTCTCCCAATTTAAATTAATCCTATTGGGTTTTTGTGTTCTTACATTTTTGAAAACTAAATGTACAAACGGGGCACAGTGGTAAGCTTCATTCGAAAACTATTGATAGAGGCGTTTTAAGATAGTTCATGTTGTACATTGAAAGTGGAGAATAGCATAGCCCACAAGCCCAATATGAAGCCACAATGTAGTAAAAGATGATCCACATCCTCACCATGGCTTTTGCACACACAACATCAACTAGCAATATACATATCCTCCTACTCAACTTTTCAGCTGTTAAGATTGCTCAATGGCACCAAAAAGATGCAACAATTTTAGGAGCCTTAATTTTTCATATAGGTGATCAGATGAGTCTTGAATCGCTTCCACTGAACATAAAATGCTGTGCGACTTCACCCAAAAGCTCGAGAGGGATCCTTTCTTTATCATGTTATCTTCCTCTCCATATTGCGTAAAGTTGTAAAGTTTGTGAAAGAATCTTTCCACCTCATCAGATTCCCAATTTTGAGCACTTCTTCTGAAAAAGTGTACCTCCCATGATGGCTGTCCGGCCTGGACGAGAGGATATTCATTTTGAGTTGCAATAGTAGCTTCTCTAACCAGCAAGTGAAGCTTCCTATGTTCTTCTCAAACATTTTAGGTATGGTATTCATGTAATATGTGGATCTATATCATATACTATAATATCTCATCTTGATCATAGTTTAAGGTGCAAATAGAGAAGGTTGTACCCTTTGATTTCTTGTTTTACTATGTGTTAAGTACAAATGTATATTTAGTTATTTTCCCTCCATAGGCGCTTACACCATTAGCTCTGGAAACAAGCTGCTCTTGGTTCTTGCTCCCTGATTCTGACTTTTTTCGTGAAATGTTTGCTTAGTACTTTTGTAAATGGAAGTTTAAAAATCTGCCCTGTTGGGAGGGGCTGGGGATTAAATTTCTACTTATATGGTAAATTCTTGTACCTGAAGGAAGCTCGAAAATTTGTAGTTACAGGTAGACATAATTACATATTTATAATTTTTTTTTTGTGAATGAATTGTTTCCATATTTCTATAAAAAGCTGCTCTGAGGAAGAGGTCGGTAATAGTTGTCATATTAAGAAATTCTCATTAGCCGAAGGAAACTCAGAGCTTTGCAGTTTCATGGACTTCTGAGATCTGGAGAAGAGTCGACTCACTTACCTTTGTAGATCTGTCAATCACGTGCTACAAATAATTGCAGTTGAACTAAGGCGGTGTTTCCTGTTTTATCATGCAGTTCTTTTGCATATGATATATCGAGGCACGGCTGGGCCAATGTATGTCTCTGCTGCACTTGCTTTAGGCCCAATTTGTCCAACCAACAGATCAAACAACTACATCTTCCAGGCATTTATTTCCGCTCGTTCTTTACGAGTTTCTGAATATACTATCCTCTGCACTCCAACCAGCACTACTATATATCTATCCATTTACCACACTCGCTAGTTACTTCTCAGCCTGCTGCTCTTTCTTTGAGTTTCTTCTCTAGCAAGAACTGTGAAAAGAGTATCCACAATTGTTGTCACTTTTCTCCCTTCAGACTAACCTCTTTATTATTTTTTGTATCCAAATATAACCATTTTCAGCCATTTTTCTGTCTGTAGACACTACGTGGGCGTTTGGACATAAGAATTGTAAAATTCCAAAAAAAAGTAAAAAAAAATTTCAAGTGAAAATGGTATTTGAAAATTAGAGTTGTGTTTGGACATGAATATAATTTTGGGTTGTTTTTGAAGTTTTGTGAGTAATCTGAGTGAATTTTGAAAAACAGTTTTTTGGAGTTTTTCAAAATTTCGAAAAATTCCAAAATGCATCTTTAAGTGAAAATAAATTAACAAACGCTGATTTCGGGAAAAAGTGAATTTTTTGGAAAAAAGAAAAAAATTTCTTATGTCCAAACGGGCTCTAAATTTCCGCTATCGTTTTCTGTTCCAAAAGAACCATTTTGAGCCATCTTACTATCGTGGGACATTGATGCAGAAGGAAGTATCTTTGACCAGAAAAAGCTCTCAATTAGACATGCCACCTGGGTTTGCAGCGCCATTGTCCAATATTATAATACCCTCAATAGTTTTCTATCAAACATCTTCGAGAACATGTCTAAAAGTTCAAATTTGCATTCAATATTCCGACATCAACTCGATCTTCAAATCCTCAAATCTTATTTTCAAATCCCTAGGCCCAAATCCTCGAATTTCACCTTAAAAACACGTAATCTAGTCGAAATACTCAATGATAATTCAATATTATTGACTAACAATGGTCACAAGTGACTTACCTCAATAATTCCCGTGAAATCCCTCCGAAAAATCGCCCCAAACCGTGTGTTTGAAGTCCAAAAATGAGAAAGAATCTCGGAACCCCTCGTTTTAACACTGCTAGTGTTTTCACATCTGCGATACACTTGGCCGCATCTGCGAGAGCGTAGATGCGAGGTCTTCGACGCTTCTGTGAACTCGCTTCTGCGAAGAAGCTGTCCGCTTTTGCGAAACAACTGCCCCTTTCCTTTTTCTGCTTCTGCGGTCGAACCTTCGCAGGTGCGATTCGCTTCTGCGGTCCACCTGCCCGCTTCTGTGACCACTGCCCTCCTTAGCCCAAGCTGCATCTGCGACCATTGTGTCGCTTCTGCGGTCGCGCACCTGTGACCAATTCCATCGCAGGTGCGATTGCACCAGAATCGGAAAAATTTTCAGAATTGTTCTAAGTCCAAATTTCGATCCGTTAGCCATCCGAAACTCACCTGAGGCTCCCGGGACCTCAACCAATTATACCAATAAGTCCCAAAACATCATACGAACTTAGTCGAAGCCTCAAATCACATCAAACAGCGCTAAAACCATGAATCACACCCCAATTCAAGCCTAATGAAAACTAACGAATTCCAACTTCTACTTTCGATGCCGAAACCTATCAAATCAAGTCCGATTGACCTCAAATTTTGTACACAAGTCATAAATGACATAATGGATCTATTCCAACTTCCAGAATCGGATTCTGACCCCGATATCAAAAAGTCAACTCCCGGTCAAACTTCCAAATTCCTATTTTCGCCATTTCAAGTGTAATTTAACTACGGACTTCCAAATAATTTTCCGGACACACTCCTAAGACCAAAATCATCATACAGAGCTATTGGAATCATCAAAACTCTATTCCGGGGTCGTTTACACATAAGTCAATATCCGGTCAACTATTTCAAATTAAGCTTTAAATCTTGGAACTAAGTGTTTCAATTCATTCCGAAACTTTCCCGACAAATCACATAATCGCAATTGAGCATAAAATATTCAGTAAATGGGGAAACGGGGCTGTAATACTCAAAACGACCGGCTGGGTCGTTACATTCTCCCTCTTAAACAAACGTTCGTCCTCGAACGGGTTTAGAATCATACCCGAAGTCTCAAATAGGTGTGGATATTTGCTCCGCATCTCCCGCTCAGTCTCCCAGGTAGCAGAATTCTATATATGTTAAAAAATATACTCCCTCCGTTTCAATTTATGTGAACCTATTTTCTTTTTAGTCCGTGCCAAAAAGAATGATCTCTTTCCTTATTTGGAAACAATTTACCTTTATGCAATGATTTATAGCCACACAAAATATATGTGCCTCATTTTACACCACAAGTTCAAAAGTCTTCTCTCTTTTCTTAAACTCCGTGCTCAGTCAAATGGGTTCACATAAATTGAAACGGAGGGAGTATATACTAGTACTAATCATCAAAAAACAACAACTATATATGCTAATAAGTATTTTCAAGAACATATATACTAACCACGCTAGTATCGTGTGGAGGTGGAGGACATTTTAGACTATATCCAGTACTGTTTGCGGGCTAAAGGCCATGCAAGGTGAAACTTGACGGAACACGATTGTTGCAGTTATTCCTCCCACAGAATGTGGGTGCCCATTGTAATACGATCTGCATATTATCATAGGTGGTCGATTGAGAAATTACTTGCTGGGGGACCGTAGTGAAACTAAAAAACAGTGCAATGCAAGTTACCAACAACTTCATTTTAGTTTTGCTATGAAAAGGATGAAAACAATCGTTGCATATTTATAGTTGAAATCCTCACTTCTATAATGTTAAAATTTAATGGCATTTAATAGGTTGTTATTAGATTAATTTTTTGGACAGAAGAACATTTACCAACAACTTCATGGTAGGTGAATAGAATTCTAATACTACGTACATTAGGAAAGGGGCAATGGTCGCGGATCGCACCTGCGAAGGGTTCGACCGCGGAAAGGGGCAGCTGTTTCGCGGAAGCAGACTGTTGTCGGCAGAAGTGTCGAAGACCTCGCATCTGCGAGAGCCAAGTGTATCGCAAATGCGAAAACACTGGCAGTGTTAAAACGAGGGGTTCCGAGATTCTCTCATTTTTGGACTTCAAACACACGGTTTGGGGCGATTTTTCAGAGAGATTTCACGGGAATTCTTGAGGTAAGTCACTTGTGACCATTGTTGGTCAATAATATTGAATTATCATTGAGTATTTCAACTAGATTACATGTTTTTGAGGTGAGATTCGGGGATTTGGGCCTAGGGATTTAAAAATAAGATATATTTAAGCTGCATGTTGTGGTGTGTGCGTGGAGCCAAATTTGAGTTGCATGTGCATATATTATGGTTATAATTCTCTTCTATCTCTCTATTTTCTTGTCCGTCAAACATAATTTTATTTTAAGATAAGGAAAGCGCACACGATTCGATAACTCCGTTGCTTCCTTGCTTACATCCATCATTGAGCTTTGAAGTTCACTAGACACATGTAAACCTTTTTAGTCCCTGTTAATCTGTTATCCTATATGCTCTTCAGTGTAGTTTTGCTTTATCCTAATTATTAAAACCTTAAATGATTAGTTTTGTTTTTTCATATTTAAATTCCATGAAAAGAAGTTGTGCAGACATTCAAAATTATTAGGGTTCATTTACTCTAAAATCCAGTTGTTTTTCACCAGCTTCTCTAACTTATGACCAAGAACTTATTACTGATTTTTTATTTCCTATTGAGGAATTGATTTCTTCCCTTCATGCAGTGGGGATATGTTGTAATTACAACACCAAATGGAGTTTTGGATCACGAAGAAGCTCAGCGGCAGAATGTGGGTGGACAAGTTATTGGCTACTTCTATTGAACACGTTAAAACATGGCTCAAAGTTGGCAAGAGTAATGTAGCAGCTTTCCTTTCCCGACGCCCTAGATGAAAAGTGAATTTTCCTTTCTATTGCCAATAGGGAATAATAAAACATTAGAATTCCTGTTAAATTTGTTTCTTTGAATCGTAGTAAACATTAGAATTCCTCTATTTAGCTATACTTATGAGCTTTCGATGTCATTTGGGTGTAGCGTGTTGGATTTTTATCTGTATAAGAGAGCTGGCGTGATTTTCCATGTCTCACCCATGAGACAAAAGTCCCCCTCACTTTTTTTCTAGTTCTGCAACGCCAATTTACTCGAGGATGAACAAAGCAACTCACACAGTACTACGGCTGGACCTACTAATCGATAAAATATTCAAAACTAAATAGCCTTTTTGTGTCTACACTGTCACAGCCAATCCCGACAATACCAAATGTTTGCAGTGTTTAGCATGAACTAACATTCTATCTCAAACATAAAGATTTCTTACTCAAGTTACGTGAGCAGGGGAAAACATGAACAGTGGAAAGCATAGGATGTCTCCGCAAAGACGCCTTCCACCAGTTATCAGCTACTCTTTTACATGATATCAAGACTACACTAATGCTCTTCTGCCTCCATGTGCAATCCCTACTAGTAAATTAACTAAATTAACTGCAAAAGAACATTTATACAATCCTCCAATTAAGAATGACCAAACATAGTCACCGACTCACCGCTGTAGAATGTAAGTCAAGAAGAAATGAAGTTATTATCGAGTTAATCAGAAGTTTTTCCCACTAGAGACTTCCCAAAGAAAAATTCAGGTATGTATGTTACCCACCTCCTCTTATACAATTCAAACCTAATTAGATTGTTGTGCAACTTACCTGGATGTTTTGACACTAGTAGACAAGCAAAGAAACTTCCATATGCCCCATCTCCCCATTCCAGGTTTAATATTTTAAACTTGCCATCAATATCATATGGCAAAAACTATTACGTCCGAGTCATGCACTACATACGAATGCTTCTGAAGCTATGGTAAACTCAGGGAAACTGTTGCTGACCGTTACTTCTGTTAGAAGACTTCCTCATGGTGCAAAGATGAAATCAGTCCATCTAAACTTCTGAGTTCAGCATGGTACAGGAGAAAACCACAACAACCCAGTATAATCTCACTAGTAAAGTCTGGGAAGGGTAGTGTGTACACAGACCTTACCCCTACCATGGGGTAGAGAGGCTGTTTCTGATAGACCCTCGCTCCCTCCCTCCAAGAACTTCCCCACCTTGCTCTTGGGGTGACTCGAACTCACAACCTCTTGGTTGGAAGTGGAGGGTGCTTATCACTAGAGCAACCCACTCTTGTCCTTAGACAGGAGAAAACCATTTTATAAAAATCAATATCCATAATGCTTATGCTTTATCTATTCCTTTATCATCATAGCCTCATGCATGATAGATGCTTCACGTCATTTAACAGGAAATTTTAACTGTCCACATGGAAACAAAAACAAAAAAACTCTAAACAATTAAACCTATTTAAAAATTAGCTTTGCTCAACAACCCCAAGCATATTAAACTATGCATAAGTTAGCTTGGCACGATATCCCTTTCTGTTTTGGTTGTGCAACATGAAATACTCCAAATTAGTGGTGCAAGGATAAACCCAACCTAAGGAACACTTGACTCCACCCAGTACATTATAAAGATTTCAAGAATGGCATACAACATGGATTGAATTCACATCAGCAGCCCCTATTTCTCAAAGAACTATTCGAAATGGATTACAAGCAAATGTGCAAATACTAGAACAATTAGCTATAACAGATTGCCATAAAAATATACATGAAATCATTTCTCATACAACATGTACATAAAATGCACACTGACAAGTAGAAATTCTAACCATCTCCAAGCCTTTCTCACCCTATACACTATTATGGCTAACTGCACCAAAAGTTTCACTGTTTTACTTCTCCGCTTCGTACCTGCTGCAGTCTATGCAGAATTACATGAAAACAGTTTTCTACCTTAACACTAAAACATAATTTTATTACAGAAGCTTAGCATAGCAAAGGGAGCCTGGAAGTTTCTTTCCACAAGGAAAGCACCTCCAATAGCAATTATTATCACTTAAAAAGGCTATCTGCCTGGATGATACTCTGGACCTAGTTACACATTGAAACAAACTACAGATGCTCTTCTTCTCCCCTCACACACATATTCTAACTAGTAGAATTAACAAAAATTGATCTGCAAAAGATCAATCAACCTAAAGAACGACCAAGCAAAGTTATCTGTATAAGATGCATCTCTCTCTCAACTAAAAGATGGCATATATGTAATATGTTTATCCACTTCTCTCTCTCACGCGCTTAAACTGATAAGGTGGCAGATAACAAAACTGCAAAGGTATATCTAATTTTTTATAGTGAGAATAATATAATACATTAGGACAACCAGAACTATGAGAGCATATCAAATTGATGTGTGGTTGTAGTTAACCAGGATTTTTAGCCACGTACAAACTTGTGAAGACAATATCCATAAGCACCCCTTCCACCCCCCACCCCAAACACCCCCCCACACACAAATCTGCAACTCCCAGCTGCAAAATTTTAGAACTGTTGTCAATATGTCAAGCTGCAAAAACGATGACAGCTGAGTCATGCATGCTCACAAATGCTTTCAAAGCTATGCACACTAAATTTGTGAAACAATAAGGTGGATGGCCATTAAGACTGCAGATTCTTACCAACAACAATGGTTCCTCTGGCAGAAAATAATGGAGTCAATCCATTTAACTTCAGTATTCAGTTATAATATTCAGTAACATATTATCCATCATTTGTCTATTCCTTTATCATCATACAAACATGAATGGCAGAAAGTTGAAGTCCATGAACACGACATTTTGGTAACCAACACCCAGAAAGATGGTAAAAACAATTAAAACTGTTTGAAAATTAGCTTGACACGACAAAGATCAAGCTTGTGCAACCATTCTTATTAACCTATGCCCTCCCTCTCCAAAAAGAAACGTCTCCCTATTTAGTTTCTTTTAACTGAGCATGAATTCATTCAAATTTAATTTCTCTGTTTCACACAGATCAACTAAACCAACCGGATAGCTTCGCCTTTACAGGTAAAACGGTGTCATGCGATACTAGGAGGGATGGCAGAACTAGGAACCCTAAACAGGGGATTCACTTGAACTTCCTTCCATACCTCTAGCTCTGCCACTAACTACGAGTTATGAGCAGCTATATCAACAAGTAGGTTTAGTTACAACACTACCAGACAATGTACAAATTACCATTTACCAACATGCACATTAAAGTATAAACACGCGAATTCTGCAAACCATTAAGTAGAGCAATATAACTCCACCAATCAAAAGAGAGTTGAAATGCACATTAAACTCATTCTTCTGTAGGAAATAGAGAGAACTGCACATACTATGTCACAATATACCAATTGTGCAGCCTCATTATTAACATAAAAATCACAAATTTCTCAATTACCCACGCGCCTTCAGCTCAGCAAGGCGCCTGGTAAGATCGTCCTCGTCCACTTTCTCGCTGTCCTTTGTAGGAATCGCATGACCGGCTGCTTGGGGAAGCCCAACAGATACCTCAAGGCCATAGTCATCAGCCACCTGGTGCATAAGGCTGTTAACCTGGTCCTCGGGAGTCGACAGCGACGTACTTCCCGCCATAGAACTCTCCATAAACTCAGCTTGAACTTCCATATTAACGAACTGTTGCTCGAACTTGTCCATCGTCTCAGACATCTTCTGGAGATTACCTGTAGCAAGAGAAGACTCAAGTGATTTTACAATATTGCCCATTGACTTACTAATTGTGGTCATTTTCGCCTGTGTATCGAGTCGAGCCACAACGGCGTCGAGCCGTGAAGATAAACGGAGATAATTCATCTGTTCGCTGCGCTTGCGGATCGCGTTCTCGGCGTAAATTCTAGCGCCGTCCATATTTCCTTTTTCGATTGCTTTTTTCACCTTAAGCTTCTCGGATTTTTCGTCTTTCTCGCATTTGCGAGCTTGGCGTTGAAGACTTTTTGATGTGAACTTGAGCTCCATGATCTGGTTCATCAATTTCTCTGTGTTTCCCATGGCTCTTAGATCTGGCGATAAGCTCTTTCGAATTTCTGAATTATTGATGCAATTTGATGATCTTTTTACCTTCGATCGATCACCTTTCCTACTTGTATTTGGTTGAAGTTAGGGTTTGGAGACAGAGATATTTTGCTGGAAATTCGTTGGATACGGTATTTGTATAATGCTACTCCCTTACCGAGTAAAGACCATCTACGGTCAGGATCAATTGTAGCGTCGTTTATTTCTATAACTAGCCGTCGGATTAATAAAACACGTAATAGTGGGCCCAATAGATGAGTCGACCGTTGAACGAGCTATACTTCTTTTTCCTAATTTTCCTGAATTGATGTTCGTATTTCTTTCTTTTTTTCGTTTCGAAACTTCGACGCGTTAATTTATGTTCCCTCTATTTATTCAGGAAGGACTAAAGTAAAAAGGTCACTAATAATATTCTGTCAGAAAATTTAGCCGTGTTGGAATAGTTCGTTAAATTTTTGACAAACAAACTAAATTCATTTTCTGTTTGAACTAAAAATATTTTCTTTCCCCACATTTCTGCAATTGCAAATACGCAAATACAAAACTTCCATTCAAGTTTAGTTTATACTGTTCTAATAACAAAGAATTACAAGACACATACCATCTTGGAAGATGAAGATGAACGTTCTTATGCTTTTTTTGTCTCATCTTGTTGAATCTATTTTGTGGAAATAGTAGTTTATATTATCAAAGATTGTGGTGAAATAGTAATTATCCCTTCATTTTTAATTGACGAGTTCAAACTAAGTCTTAAAAAAGTCTTCTTTAGCAAAGAGCATTTTAAATCCAAAATGAGATTTCGATCCACGAATCCAGATTAATCGAACCCCAAAAAAGGTTCCACCTATCAGGTTGGAAACCAAAAAAGATATTAATTTATTTCCTTATAATGTTCACTAAAAATTTACACTTGTAGATTGAATGATTTAACTCCAAGCATAAACATGGCAAAGTTAAGATTGATGTTCTATTTGAAAATTACCCTACTTTTGAAATTTGTGTGCCACATCTTGTGTGCCTACCTGATGTTGAAATTTTTAAGCAGCAAATGATCTCAATTACAGGAGATTCAAAACTCCAGGACAAAAAATATATTTATTGTGACTAAGATTTCAAATACCATCAAACTTTCTTTAACTTCACCAAGACACCAACAATGTAGCAAAACTAATCTACACTAGATATTTTTCTCAATAAGAAGAAATGGCAATATTCCATTTAAATTGTGCAGCGTCTATTCGAAAAATAATCTAACATCAGCTGCTATCTCACTAGTCACAAGGCAACTCATGAGTCTTCTTGATTTTCTTTGCAGCAACTATGTTTGGCTCTGGGTTGGAGAAATGGACTCGCAGATTATAGGAAGATCAACAAAATACGTTGACAGTCATAATCCTGATTCAATTTGTTAAAATTGGACATAATATTTTTGGCTTCTGATTTGATTATGCGTTTTTTATGTGTATTATTTATTCAGGGAAAAAAACGACATTCATTTAGCAATGAAACTAAAGCATATAATGACAATCATGAGAATGAATTCACAATCCAAATTGAACGAATGTTTAGTCATTTCGTGTTATGGATCTAATAAACATTCGTTGGTGACAAAAGTCTAGCACTATTCGTCGAGTAATTACCAAAGAATAATACGTTTTATACATCCAAATTGACATGGAATTTTTGTGTATTTCTAACAAGTGCCTTTTATAACATATACACAGGGGCCGCCTCACTTGCTTTAGACCCCAAAATTTTAAGGGCCCCAAAATTACTATTTCTCTATATATAGTAGCATATTATTTATAGAATTATCTCTTATTATTGATAAATTTATTTCTTTATTTTCATATTAATTTTTAATAACTCGATTTATTCCTCTAATTAATATAACTAAAATAGTTATCTGTCAATCTTATTTTACTTTTTTACTTAATTATATTTCTCTATTCATTAGTTGGTCACGTAACTATATCTAATAATCTAACTTATTATTTATTTTCCTTACATAAATTATACTCTCTCCGTCCCAATTTATATAAAAGTGTTTGAGTGGACATGGCGTTTATGAAATAAAGGAAGGCTTTTGAAACTTGTAATCTTAAATAAATCATAGAAATTTGTGGGCTATAAATCATCTCATTAATGGTAAAAAGAAAAAACTAAAGTTGAATTGTTACCAAATATAGAAAGGGACTTACTAAAAAAAAAAGGAGTCACTTAAG